CCTTTGAGGCTGCACAAGTCCTAGGGAGAACAGCAGTCACCTCGGATTATGCTCGTGGCCCAAAGCTTTGCAGACTGACTGCATCTGATCTGCTTCCCACTGTGAATTAGTAGTGTAGTCTGGGCAAAGTTGTCCTGAAGGCAGAACAATACCTTGGTGTGGTGAGGTCGCTTACAGCCACATCTGTACTTTTTGGCACTGAAGACAGAGAGTGCAGGTGAAGGAGGAGTCTACTTCTTTTGTTCAGCAAGCTAATGAAGTTTAATTTCAGAAATATTGCTCTAAGCAAGCTCTCATGCTGCACACTATCTGTCTTAGAAATGCATCAACTACTAAGGGAAGCACCTGTAAGATCAGTTAGCATTGTTTTGTTCAGAAACAATTGCCCTAGTGAATTTTATTTTTAGTAAAGAAGGCAACATCTGTGTACTGTTTAGACTAATGCTATTAAAACAAATGGTGTTTGCCTTAGGTGTCCAGGATTCATTTTAACATTTTTTCTGTAATTTAGTTAATGGTGATCCAGCCTAAATATGCTACCCCTCAGCAGATTTTCATATTCTTGTGAGCAGCCTTTCTGTAACTGTCCTTATGTGACCCCTGCTCACCTGCAACCAAGTCAGTAGATGGTTTCCAGGGCTGGTAGGCTGATAACCACCAGACAGCTCTGCCCAGCTGGGTTGGCCCTGGTGGCCTGTTGGGCTCTTCCCCTGGGCTACCTGTGTCTTGGTATGTCATCCCTGTCTATGGGGATGTCATCCCCTGTCTGAGCAGCCCTGGCTGCCCTCTGGGCCAAGGCTGGTCTCGCTGCACTGCACAAGGTGCACGAGTCCTCTGACACCGCTGTGCCAAACCTCACTGCCCATTCTCATCACGGAATGAGGGAAATCAGCATCTCCCTTTCAAAGTTCAAAGGAGAAAAAGAGATTAAGGTCCTTTCCAACCCAAACCATTCTATGATTCATCAACTTGTAGCTTGATTTCTTCAACTCAGAGCTCAGAAAGTTCTCTCCTAACCTTTTGTTTAATTACATTACATTACATATGATGGAAACAGTCAGTGATAATATCGCTTATTGACATTAGCTGTTCTGCTGCAGGTGCCTCCTCTAAAAACTTGCTCTAAGTCTGTGGATGAAATTTTAACATATTTTGACTGATTACATCTCCTAGACAACAGACTTGGTTAAAAAGGGCTGCAATCTGGAAACAGCTACAGATGTGGTTCTCCTTGGGTCAAGATTAAGACCCTGTTGAAGGCTCCATTTTGTCCCCCGGCTCTGGAAAAATCAGACCCCTGTGTGCATATAGGACAAAAAGAAGGCTTAAGGCTCATCAGGTCTTTGATATTGCTCATGGCCTTGTCAGAAAATCCTGTTAATAAGCCACAGTTCTCTCAAGAGTAAGGAAGAGGAAAAGATTAAAATTTGTTACCTCCTGGTTCCCTCTATATTTTGAATTCTCTTTGACATGAAATGGCATCTCAGAATAAATTTTAGGTAGTTGATTAACAGCAGACTTTTCTTAGTTAAATGAATTTATAAATGAGAATCCAATACAGAATCATTTCTAACATCCAAACTTGCAAGGCCCTCCCTGAGTTAAATTTTCTTAGATGAAATTTTAGTAATTATAAAAAGGTCCCCTTTTATAAAAATTATGAAAAGGTCCCTTTTGCATACTGTTCTTAAAATGTCAGCATTTCAAGTATTTATTCAGACTATAAAACCTATAAATTCTGTAACTGTTTAAAATTAATAGCAATTCAAATAACATCATTGGAGCTTGTCTCAAGTCCTACTGACTAACTTTATATAGTTGGGAACTGGTCACTACTAGAAAATTCAATTTAAAACCCACCAGCATGATAAAAATTGTAATATAACTCAGAAGTTACATACTGCTTTGTTTCTGTGTATGAAATTCAAACAAGAACAGTGTCAAAACAGTATAGATTTGTTAGTGGTGTAATAGAATGTGTATGTCTGTGCAGATCTGCCTGCATGAAAGTAGGGCTGTCCTCTAATGATGGGAGCATTTTTAATCAGGTCAAGTCTCATATATTTGCAATCCATTTGCTCAAGGAACTGGGGGACCGAAAGGAACAAAATACAAGTTGCAATGTCAAAGATAGTTCACATTAATTGTCCTGCAGTTCAAGAGGTAGTCCGGTTGCTTTGGGATTTCTACATGGTTTTGGGTATCAATAAGGGTTATCCATTAGGCAGAGAACATGCTTTGAAATTCTACTCTCTCCCCTGCAACAAAGAACTCTAAAGTGTGAGAGAAGTGCCAAGAAAATTCCTTGGCTTGCTATCTTTTTAGCAAATTGGTTGTTTAATCAGTAGCAGAAATAATGGGGTCTAGTGACCCACAGAATTTCTCTCGATTTTCTCATTTCTTCCACTGTCTCAGTAACTCCAGATGGATTGCTCCCCCAGTTTCTCCTTGCTTGGCTGAACAAAGGGCAAGGTGGTTTGCTGGATTGCTAGTTTGCAACAACATTTGAGCCAACTCTCCGCTCAGAAGCTCTGGGCTGTCTCCCTGGCCAGCTAATACCTCTTAAATGGGTAAGGGAATGTCTCTCTCCTCATGACCACATGATCTTTGTTGCATAAGAAAACCAGATTAAAAAGCCCAGAACAGTCACTAAGTTGAAGACTTCTATTTGAATTACTCCCCCCCTGGAATTTGGCCCTATTGTGTCAAAATAAGAAACATTACTGGTTCTCTATTTCACCCCTTTCCAGAAACTTGCAAGGGAAGTCACCACACCATTTTAGATTTGGGGTGTACTGGGGAGAATTCCAAAGAAGCAAGCCCTATTTCTATCCTTCACAGCGCTCACAATGTGTGATTTGAGAAAAGTTATTACGCTGATCAGCATTTGCATAAATAGGATTTCTTCCTCAAAGTCACCACAATTCTAAAAGACAAAGGAGAAGTGTCGATCTATCAGTTCAGTAATTATCTTGGAAACCTTCCTTTTCTTTTACAATACACCATGTGGCCTCTAGCCACATAGTTTGATGGGCAATATTAATTAAAGGAGACGTTATGAAAGATGGATTGCAACAATTTTATGTGCCTGCACAGGGTAGGAAAAAGGCACAGGCTATCAAAGTGTGTGAGAATCTTGGTCTTTCACTTGTAACAGGCTTTGAAATATTAGCATCTGACATGTTTCTCCAATTTTCTTATATTTTTTGTTAAGTAAAGGTGTCTCATTTCAGATTCCTGTGTTAAGATGTTTCTTAGACTTTATTCCTAGGAGGGAGACTGTGTGCATAAGCACTGGAAAAACAAGTCACTGTATTTCAGCTGCTCAAGGATAACTGAATTTTCTTCAAGAAATTTGAGATAGATCATTCAAAACTAATTTTTATACTGTGTTTGGAGAGACATTTGTAAATATGAAAGATATGAAATATTTCTTTCCTAACCCATGAGTGACTATTAATTTAGTGATTCAGAGCTGACCTAATTGAGGCTGTACACCATACTTCTCCTTCAAAAGACCTCGTATTTGAATACGTTTCTTCCATACAACTTTCAAATATGCTTCTTGCTTAAAACTTTTGAGATCTTTCTTTTCTAAATATTTCCAGTATTTTATGAATTTTTTTAACCTGTCCCAGAGCTCCATCAGTCTCCGATCATACTCCTACTCTCCATTGTTTCGCTCAGTCTATGACTCCCTCACCAAAAGGAACACTGATAAAGATAATCTTTCAAGGGACACTATATATTTATTTTGTACAGCCGCTCTTCCTGTTTTATTTCACACTCCTTGATTCTACCAGGTCTTCCCCGATACTCATTTTTGGCACAAGTCTGGGTGTATTTTCTTCAGAAGAAAATACGTCTCCATTTTCAGAGAACTTACCAAGTTCCTCGTTACCATCCAGAAGGGGGGAGCAGCAACAAAAGGAAATTACTGACCCATTTTGTAGATGAAACACAGTAGTCTATGATTTAAGCACAGGGTTTTTTTAAAGTATGATGTAGCAGCAAGAATTAAATTTTTATTGCCCAAGATAAGTTTATGTGGATGACTAAATCATATTTTAAAAGGTTAAGAGCTTTGACTCCAAAAGCTTTTTGTACCAGAAGCATGGCTTTCAGCTTTATTTTTAATTTAGTATTCTTTTTCTCTCAAAGCAAAAGAGATTGCATTTCCCTCATGCATCCTTCTTACATTTCTGTGTTTGCTGATGGAAAGCATGAAAGTGTCTTCCTGCATCTGATGACTCATGAAGTTGTTTCTTTGAATTGTCAGCCTTTGGCTTGATATGCTCACGAATCAAGCCAAATAGGAACTTCCTGTTTACACCAGGGGTTTTTTTCCCCTTTTCTCTTATAAGCTGGTACATCAATTGTCACAAGAGTTTTCCCCTAAATAGTTTTTTTTTTCCATGTGAGCACATCATTGGTCCTTCTAGATGTTCACAATTATACTATTTTTCCTCTGAAGACAATAATGAGATGAAATCAATTTTTACATTCTAATGAGCTGTATCAGATGGCCAAAACGATCATCTGCCTACTTCCAAAATGTAAAATATGGTCTGTTCTGACCATCATGGTTTCATGACTCATTGGCCAAAGGATGGCAATTAGAGGACATCACATGCTCATGAGCCTGTACATCTGCCAGAAGGATACCATTCTTTTGGACATGTTTCCAGTTCTGGATGGAAAAGGCCAACAGCATTGCTCTGCAAACACACAGCATGTGTTTCATTCTGTGGTTCTGTGATTGTGTATTACCAAGCAGGCATGAACAGCAATGGTGAACTTAACTGACAATGTTTTCCCAATATTTTTAGTCAGTTCATCTTCTATTTTGGCACTATACATTACCTGTCCTAGTTTTCTGAATTTTTCACAAGGTAAGAGGAAAAAAGGAGACTGGTTATACATATCTGGAGGTAGAATACAAAGCACTGTTTCTCAAAGCACATAAATGCAGCTCTGCAATACCTGAGAAAGAAACTCACCAAATAAATCCATTGGTTGAGTTGCCTTTTTTATAGTTCCTACCCTTCTCTCAGGTTGAGGATTGTTATCACAGTAGGAAGCTGTCAGTTTCAGAAACAGGACAAAGAAGTAAAGTCTCTTTTCACGTTTTCCCTCTCATGACATTTTTTGCTTTCTTGCTTTATGATACACGGTGCTGCACCACTGACAAGCTGGACTTTTCTGTTAGATGGAATGAGAAAAACAAATAAAGAAAGCAGCAATAAGTAATACTTCATTTTCCAACAAAGGATTATATTTTGTTGAATTGGAAATTAAGAGTCAGAAACCAAACACATTGCACAAATCCTAGTACAAGTCCATTTACAACTTTGGCAAAAGATGCCTTTGAAGACTCTTCCCTAAAGGACTTATCTCTCACAAAAGGAAATAAAAGGGGGACATGGCAAAAGAGGAATAGAGGGAGACAATGTAAGATCTCAGAGTTACTCTTTATTAAACTTCATGTTGAAACCAAACTGAGAATTGGCGAAGCTTCCAGGAAAATTTAGCAAAGAAACAGCTTGCAGTAATCTACCAGCCAGGGTTACTATGGCAATAGCAGTACACTGTGAAATTTAGTAGATATAATTTTCCATGATTCACTGTATATTTTTAGCTATTTTTCTTTTTGTTCTCTCGGGCTAATTTCCTTTCTGAAGAAAAGGAAGGACTGAACACTAAGGTTATGTCCTCAGAAAAGAGAGAGGTGTCAGTGCTTCAGGGAAGCCCTTGTGTTTTAGCCCCAAATGATCAACTGTGCTAAGGAAATCTTGGGATCTTGATTCCTACCCCATTCATCTTATCTCCAGTCTTTAAGACCACTGTTCCCTGCTTCTTGAAATCTCTCCTTTTCTTGTTCACCTTAATTTACTTCTCTAATGATTCTTCCTGCCAGTTCACAGTCTGAACCACATGAATAACTTTTCTCCTTTCTTTCTTTTGCAGCTATTATCCAAAATGATTCTTTTTCATAACACCACCTCTTCTCTTTGTGACATGTTTTGAGCTCAGGGACTCAAAGATCTCCTCATCCACCTCCTTCCATACAGTCCTTCCTTTGGCCTCTCTGTGGTTTGCTCACAACCGGAGATGATTGAAACTCACTCTCAATCACACTGATTCAGTGAGGCTGATACACAGTCATGATTTTACACAGGCACCACGATTTTTATGTGGCTCTGACATGCAAAATGACATGCTCTGTTTACTACCATAATATCTCTAAGATGTAGCTTCCTATTCTTCAACTAAATATCAGAACTTGTCATATGAGTCTTTCTCTTTTCCACTAGAGCTATAGTTTCTGCTCCTGGGCCACAAGTGCTCACAGCTGATTATTTCATCATCTTCCCTGTTTGCTTCTTCAGCTGCTGATCTACTTTGTGCTATTCTTCCTCTATGACATCAGCTTCTACTTCTGTTCCTCAGCTTCTACAACTTACATCTATGTGTCCTTCTCTATAATGTTGCTTTTATCATATATCAGCAATGATCAACCCCTTCACTTCATCGTCTCCAGCTTTTGTTATTTTATTTCACAACTTGTACTATTGGTATCTTGGTGTTTTGTTACATTGACCTTGACACATGATAGATGGGTTATGGAAAAAGTAGAGAATATCTCCTTTAGCTCCTTTTTTGCAGCTCACCCCTGTCACCTGTCATGGTTTAATCCCAGCCAGCAACTAAGTGCCACACACCAGATCCTCGCTTCACCTCACTACACTACCCACCCTGGTGGGAAGGGAATCATAAAGAAAAAATAAACCTCTGGGGTTGAGACAAGAACAGTGTAATGATTGAAACGAAATGAAATATTATAATACTAAAAATTGTAATAATTATAATTTTAAAAGAGAGGGAGGGAAAACAGAGAAACAAGTGATGCACAATACAACTGCACATCACCTACTGACTGATGCCCAGCCCAGCCCTGAGCAGCAATCTTTAAGGGCCCCAGACAACTCATTCAGTTTATATGCTGGTCATGGCATTCCATGATATGGAATCTTCCTTAGTGCAGGTCAGCTGGCTATGTTCTGTCCCAGCCTCTTGTGCAGCTCTCACCGACAGAGCCTGGGAAATTGAAAAGTCCTTGACTTAGAGTAAGCACTACTTAGCAACAACTAAAACATCAGTGTACTATTCTCATAATAGATCCAAAACATGGCACTGCACAATCTACCAGGAAGAAAATTAAATCTACTCCGTCTGAAACAAGGACACACCTTAAATGAAACAGTAGCATCTAAGTACATTTAGGCAACTAGAAAATTTCACAGAATCACGGGCAACCACCAGAACATGCTCATGCTATTATTACTTGACCTTCCTTACACTTCACCTCTAACCAATTGTTTGTTGAGCTCCCTGCAGTATTGTCAGTCTGCATTGTCAAAAGCAGTCTGTAGAATCTCAAAAGATAAGGGGTTTGTATGTTTCAAACATTGGTAGCCTGACTTGGCTGTGGAGCCAATGAAGGATCATTGGTAATAACAGACAAGGATTGTTGGAAATAACACACCACGAGAAAGAACAAGATGTAGCTGGAGAAGGAGGGTCAGGGGGATATAGGGCAGCACTTTTCTGGGACAGGCATCCTTGTTGTAGTTCCTGGAGATAAGCACAATACAATGCAAGTGCAGGAATGAGACCAAGAAGTGGACGTGAACTGTAGGGGGTGATCAAGACCACCGAAGACTCCCAAAGCCCTCTGACCCATTTCCAGAAAGGTCTGAAATAACGGACTGTGCGTGATAAATAATTGGCATAGAAAGCAAGAAACCTCTTCAGGCCAAAGAAAACCTACCTACAAAAAGGTACCCCCACCAAGCCCAGGTGTGTGCCCCAGGATCCTGCACATCCCATCAGCCAGATCAACGCTAGAACCAGGACTGGTGATTTCTCTTTTATTTTCTTTTTTTTCCTTTTTCTTCTCTTTTTTCTTTTCTTTTCTTTTCTCTTTTTTTCTTTTTCTTTTTCATTTTCTCTTTTCCTTCCTTCCTTCCTTACTTCCTTCTTATATTATCCTTTTATCCAAAACCCACTGTGGAGTGCTTGTGTAGTAGGTCAGCGACTAGCATACCAATTTCCATGCCAAGTGTGTAATTTACTGATAAAACCTTTGAGTTTTTGCAGACCCTCTGACTTTAGTAGTTCCCTTCAACCACAAGCATCTAGGAATCTTGGGTGATCCCTTCTCCTTAGGGGTGGGACGTCACAAGTTCTAATTGTGTTAAGACTGGGACTGCCTGCCTGCTATATTGCTGTATATAAACAGCTCTGAGAAGCTTCTACGAATTTTGGAAGGAAGGTATAAATGGAAGGAGTGGAAAAAGAGCAATTCTTTAAGTCAGTCAAGGGCTGGGGCGGCTTACAAGAATCTCTGTCAAACTTAATAAGGGACCAGAATTTGGATACCCACCATTCTAAACTCCTACAGTTTACAGTTTTAGCTGTTAATAACAGCATACATAAATACAAATAAACCATAACAGATAAGAAAACATTATTAAAAATAAAAGTTAAAACCATACCAAAAAATCATTTATTACAGCATAATATATTTATATATCCAAACTTCCTGCTGCAAGATGCAGGAAAAGGCTATGCATTTGTTTATGTATATTCATGCGCATTTAAAAGGACCACAGTGCCTCATCTCGAGACACAGCTGATCAGTAGCTGGGGCTGTGGTGCAGTTTATATAATGCAAGTTTATGACTTTGTAAGATGTCATTTTTCTTTCCAATATTTATGGATTTCCTTTTTTCTGTGTTTAGAAAGTAGAGTATTTCAAAGAAACACTTCATAGGGGTTTTTACACCATGTAGGACATACTAGACATGATGCCAGTATAAAATATAGCAATACTAATTATCTTCTGTCACAGAGGATAGTAGACTACAGAGGTCCTCATCTGTTCTATGATAACAACCATGTGTTCCTGAAATTACATTTTTCTGCTGTTTGAACACTCATAAGCCATCGCAATATGGGCATAAGGAGAAGTCAAAAGAAAAGCTGCTCAGTTCTGAACGACCCTCTGTCCATGAGGAAGCAGGAAATGCCCCATCCCTCAGAATTTCCTGATTTTAGACAGATGGTTAAAGAAAAACAGTAAGAATGAGAGTTGTTCCCACAAGAATCAGCAGTACCAGGGCTCCATTGGCTCCTCAGTAATATCAGGAGGCCCTCATGTTGCAGCTGGCTCAGTTCCTGCAGGGTCTGCCGTGCTCCAGTGAGGCAGGCAGTGCTACAGGGTGGTAACTCTTGTTCAGCCCACTGCACGGCTGCCCTGCTGCACGGCACAGCACCTTCTGTGAGAACACAGCATTGCCCTAGCAAAGAAAATGTAGCCGGTAATTAAAAGAGTAACTGATCGGTGTCATTATAGCTGTTCGTGATTCTCAACATCTGTTCAGTTTCAGAGAAATTTAGAACAATCACTGTAGAGTTCTGCAGGTGTTTTTTTTTTCACAAGTCTTTTTTCCATGCATATCAGGTGCATCCCTCTTTGAATCTGCCAAATTAATGTCTGACACTCATTATAGCCAAGACATTCAAGACTTCTACTTCCCCCTGTGCTTTATGTTTTCTGACACAATCCAAATTCATTTTACCTCCATACGGTGACTTGGACTGCTGCCTTCTGACTGTAAATTATTTTTCTAGGTTTCAAAGGTTCAAATTGTTCTACAGCTAAAATAATAAAGCTCCTTTTATTAAATGTTATATTTGTAATTAAATTACATATTGCTGTTTCAGAAAGTCTCCTGTTCCTACAGTACTTTCTGTTACATGAAGCCAGAACTATTTTGGCAGAAAATCCCTATTTAAACCCCATGTTTTACCAGACAAAAAGTTCCAGAAATTAAAGAAAATGTGAAATATTCCGAAAAAGAAGGAGTCTGAACTGTTCTGCCTACTCTGGATGGCTTGCCTAATACAATAATGGTATGTATCATGCTTAGCATCGCAGTTTCCAAACTGTATTCCCTGTATTATCCAGCAGATGATGCTAATGTATTACAAACTGTTCTCTGTTCAATTTTAATTAAAGATGCCCAGCTACAAGATGTAGTTCTCTCACGTACCAGGCATTTTAAAATTTTTTCAATTGTCCTCTTTAATTCTTCTCTTTCCTAACATGTGTGATTCTCAGTGTCACAACCAGTTGT